TGCAAAAGAAATTTCCCTCCTTATAGAAAGACTTAGTGCTTCCCTCAAATCCATCACTTGAAGGTACTGGAGGGCTCTGACTCACAAAGGGACATTGAATGGGTCTTTGCAAGAAGGTGGATTTACCTTAAATACGTGATGACTCCCACAGCCCTGAGGAGAGAGTGAACACAAATGTCAGGGATTCACCACTATTTCTGCCTTCTTCACAAGCACACAGCCCCGTTTCCTGCCACTAGACACCCTGGCACAGTAAGATCATCTTCTCCCCACTTTTCCAAGGAAAATAAATCTGAAAAGCTGTAGCTTTCACTCTTTCAGCATTATTTAAAATTCTTTAAAATTCTTCTCAAGCAGCCCTCCATAAAGCAGAGGCAGAGAAGGCTCGACATACTTTTTGGTATGTTCCTGCCTCTAGGAACAAAAATCCTCTCTAAGATGCTCCTTTGCATGAATTAACTCTCAGAGTTCAATTATGGTTGAACGAAATAGAAGGAGGTTTAAAAAGCCTTGATGGGTTTTGGATTCAGATTGTTCCATTTCAGTTTCGTCTATTATTATCACTACTACATGACCAAGATTATTAACAATAAATGGACATTCAGGCCATCTAGGACAAAAGCCTTTTAGAAAGGTGATAAGTTGGTTACCAGATATCTGTTGCTTTTGACACCGGTGACTGAGAAACAATTTCTGGGGCAACAAACTCTGGAGATCCATATTTGCTGAACTGAGGCTCAAAGGGTGTGATCTTCTGGGCAAATCCAAAGTCACAGAGCTTAAGATCTTCCCTTTCAGGATAAACCATGAGGATGTTCAGCGGCTAGTCAATGAAATAAAATGAAATGGAGAGACTTTTCTTGAAAGCAGGCAATATTGTCAGTATAAAGTAAGAATAATTCAACTAGAGACTGCCCAACCCCTGCCCAAGAGACTATGATAAGCTGGACCTGCCATTGCACGTTACCTTAATGTCCAAATGAAGGACGTTGTTGTCATGAAGGTATTTGACTCCTTCCAAAATTTGCTTGATGTATAATTTGACCTAAAAATTAAATCCATTATTAACCATTAATAGTAAACAAGAGGTTCCATGATTCCACCAACATTTTTATTATATGAAAGAGGGAGGGACTGGAGTAGAAATACGTTTAAAACTAGAATGAAAGTCTTGCAGTTGAAATAAGGTGTCAACCAAACATTACCCTGTGGAATGAAGCTGTGCCTTGTGTGTGCCCTGGTGAGCCTCCTATATGTAAAAAAGCCCTTTAAAAAAATCCAAACAAAAAAAAACCCACTAAAATCAGGCAAAAAAAAGAGATGCAGAAATTCACAGGTTTGATGAACCTTATAAACTGCCTCATTTGTCTAACTCAGACTGAGCTCTGGCTTCATGTAAATCAGGCAAACACAATTAAAGCACAAATGTATTTAAAAAATGTTGTAAACCTGTTTTCTTGACCATGTGTTGATCCAGCCTGACTATGACAGGAGTGAAGATTTACAGGTAGCTTCAGCTCTGCAGGTCCTCTATCTATTATACTCCCTAGTGTTAACTGAAATCTGATCTTTAAAGGTCCCTTCAGCCCAAACCATTCTATTATTCCATATTTGTCTCTTAAGTATTTAAAAGAAAACCCCAGTTTTAGCAATAAATATGGGACACTTGTCAACAAGATGGGAGATGTGAAACATGTTGTTCTTTGAGCACCAGGATCTTAGAAACAGAAATTTCAGCCTTTGGTTTGAAGGCTGAAAGGGAGTGGATTGTAGTTGCAAGGGGATAAAGCCTTATTAAGCAAGTGACAAAACAATAGCTCCAGGGGACAGATGGCAAATAAATGGTGTTAATAGATCAAATATCATCTACATCAGGCTGAGAGCAATGCTGGGGGTCAAAACCACTGTTCATTTCTAGTTCTAGAATCATAGAATGGTTTGAAGGGACCTCAAAGACCATCAGGTTCCAACCTCCCTGCTATGAGCAGGGACACCTCCCACCAGACCAGGCTGCACAAGCCTCATCCAACCTGCCCTTCAACACCTCCAGGGAAGGGGCTTCCACAACCTCCCTGGGCAGCCTATTCCAGCACCTTCCTGCCCTCATGGTGAAGAATTTCTCCCTGATATCTAACCTAAATCTCCTCTCTCTCTGTTTAAAACCATTACATTTGTCCTGTCACTGCCCTGTCTGATGAAAACCCCCTCCCCAGCTTTCCTGGAGCCCCTTCAGGCACTGGAAGCTGCTCTAAGGTCTCCCTGGAGCCTTCTCTTCTCCAGGCTGAACACCCTAACTTTCTCAGCCTGGCCCCAGAGCAGAGCTGCTCCAGCCCACGGATCATCTTCGTGGCCCTTTTCTGGACCCTCTCCAACAGCTCCATGTCTCTCCTGTGCTGAGGGCTCCAGAACTGGGCACAGCTCTCCAGGTGGAGTCTCACCAGAGCAGAGGGGCAGAATCACCTCCCTCCACCTGCTGGCTAGGAAAGCTGATGGGAACCCATTTAAAAAGCTGATTCTGTTTTAACAGATTATCACTGGTTCAAAGATAATCCTCATATTCAAAAAGAAACAATGCAGCTGGAAGGTGCTCTGGTGGTGCCTACCAATTCTGGACTTCCAAGTGAGAAGGAAACATTACCTCTGCTTCAGTGACCACGCTCTTCTTGAACAAACGGTCGAGGAGCTCCTCGCTGGAGCAGCTGAGAATGGCATTAAGGGATAACAGAATAACTTAATTTCTTCTTTATTATTATTTATTTTCTTAGCTTTGTAACCACTTCTATGAAGCTAACAGAGCAGAATTCACAAGCACTCATGCTCAGCACTAAGTTCTCTTGCTGTTTGCCTAGACTGGCTCTCACAGGATCAGAGTCCTTCACCTCCAGACATTCCAGAAAAGAGATTTGGTGCTTAAGAAGTCATTCAGATTTGCATATGCAAGTACCATGGTTTTTCCTAAAGCAGCAGAAACACAGTACTTCAGTGAAGAGCTCCCACAGAGATGCTGTCCTGCAGTGCAGAGAAAGACTGTGTGTCCTTTCATGTCAGACAAACCCTCCAAGTGGTTAATTGTTCAGTTATTTCATAAACGAGCTCTGCCCAGAGCTCCCCAGCCTCCTCAGAGAAGCAGCACAGAAAAGGATACAGCTCCAGAATCAAAATCAGTGTTTTCCGTGTTTCAAACTGATCCAGGAGCCTGGTAATTCTGTCGTGAGACAGAGAGGCAAGAATCTCCCTCTCTTGATGCGCCCGAGCCTTCGTTTTGCTTCGCAGGGGTATGAATTTGGCAGCACAAGACACCCTGTTCCCTTTGTGGACAACTCGTTTCACAAAGCTGAAGCAGCCCCTGTGTGAGATGGAAGGAGAAGCCCTGCTCAGACTGGGGTCAGAGCCCTCTGCACAGCAGGTCGGCACCTTTCCTTGTCCCAGCCTTTGACAGCTCCTCGCTGCTCCAGGCTTTGACTCTCCAACATAAAAAGCTGGTTTCCATCTATGTGAGATACTGTTGCCCTCTCCTGGTTGTCTCCCAAAACTCAGCAACCAGCTCCCATCAAGGGAAAAGCTGTTAGAAGTGACACAGCCTAGTGCTGACAAAGGATCCTCTTGGATCCCTTGGGTGGTCACAGTCCTTGTATATATGGACTTGTGGTGTTAGCACTGCCAAGGAGCCATCCTTGGGCACCCACCCTGTCAGCCAGTGGATGATATTTTTTCTGCTTGGAGGTCCCTGGGCCCATGGGCTGTGTGGACTCTCCCATTCTCCATCAGAAACCTCAGGAAGGTGTTTCCAGCAGACCTGGAGTGGGATGACCTCCCACCCCTGCCAGTACTTCTACCTTTCCCCAGCTGGGTCCAACAATTACAGCTGTTCAGCAGCTCAGATGATCAATTAGATGTTCTCAGTTACTCAGAATGTAAAGTTGGAAAATTAATTTACCTGCCAATCTCCTGTTTAACTTCATAAAGGGAATGGAGCTTTCTCCTGGTGGCCACTTTCTTTGCTGCTTGGTCTTTCTTAGCTTTGGAAAGGAAGCAAAATACAAGTGTTAGTATTCACACAGGAACGCCTTGCTAATAGTGTGCAAAGTCATTACAGGACAATTTAAGGCATGAAGAATTACAAGGGTCCTCTAAACTTCTGCAAGGAATGAGCTGGAGGTGTTCCATGATATAATCTGTCAATATGAATTTTGGGGCAGCATCTTAGAGAATCACAGAATCCTTTTGGTTGGAAAAGACCTTTAAGATCATTGAGTCCAACTGTTAACCCATCACTGCCAAGGCCACCACTAAACCACGTCCCTCAGCACCTACAACCTTCATCTGCCATAAATCAGAAGAGTCAGGCTAAAGATCAGAACACCACCAGACATGGATCCACTTGTTTCTGTGGCCCATTGTATCAGTTTGTCATGTAGTCTGAAGCAGAGAAAAATAATATCTCATTTGTATTTAGGTCATGAGACCATTTGGCCTGACTCTGGGGCTTGCCCTTGTGGTAACAGAATCACAGAATGTCGGGTGGAAGGGACCTCAAGGACCATCTGGTCCAACATTTCTTGGCAAAATCATGTTCTAGACAAATGCTACTCAGGGATACAGAACAGATACACATGGGTACCAGAAGATCATAAAATCACAGAATAGTTTGGGTTGGAAGGGACCTTGAAGATCATCTAGTTCCAGGCCCCCTGCATGGGCAGGGACACCTCCCACTAGACCAGGTTGCTCCGAGCCCCATCCAACCTGCCCTTGAACACTTCTGGGGAGAAGACATTCATAACTTCTCTGGGCAACCTGTTCCAGCGTCTCACCACCCTCACAGGAAAGAATTTATTCCTAATATCTTATTTAAATCTCCCCTCTTTCAGCTTAAAACCATTACCCCTTGTTCTCTTGCTACAAACCCCTGTAAAAAAACCCTTCCAGCTTTCCTGTAGCCCCTTCAGGCACTGGAAGCTGCTCTAAGGTCTCCCTGGAGCCTTCTCTTCTGCAGGCTGAACACCCCAACTCTCCCAGCCTCTCTCCAGAGCAGAGCTGCTCCAGCCCTCCCATCATCTTTGTGGCCCTTTTCTGGGCTCTCTCCATGAGCTCCATGTCTGCAATGGTGTCCACATTGCAGTGGCTCTGGAAGGAACTCCTGCAGCTGAAAGCACGACTCTACCTTCACGTACGATAAGCTCTGCTTTGCACAACACCTCCCCTCCAGCATTTCTGGCAATACAGGTATAAACACCACCATCTTCTGAGGCAGCATCGTCCACCACTAAGAAATATGTTGTTCCTTGCTTCCCTTGATGGAGCCTGTTGCTGTCTGTCAGCAATGATGTGCCCTGAAAGAATGAAATGACATTTTGATGCTCAGAAAAGATGGAAAGAAATCACAGAATCACAGAATTCCAGGGGCTGGAAGGGACCTGGAAAGATCACCTAGTCCAAGCCCCCTGCCAGAGCAGGGTCACCCAGAGCACATCACACAGGAAAGTGTCCAAGTGGGTTTGAATGTCTCCAGAGAAGGAGACTCCACACCCCCTTGGGCAGCCTGGCCCAGGGCTCTGCCACTCTCACAAGAAAGATGTTTTCTCTGATATTTACATGGAACCTCCTATGCTCCAGTTTGCACCCTTTGCCCCTTGTCCTATCACTGGACATTCCTGAAAAAAGCCTGATGAGGAAAGGCTGAGGGAGCTGGGTCTCTGCAGCTTGGAGAAGAGGAGACTGAGGGGCGACCTCGCCCATGTTTACAAATATGTTAAGGGCAAGTGTCCAGGGTTCTTTACATTTTTGCTTGTTTTTTTTAAAGGTGATTTTATTTGTCTGAGTGGCTCATCCTTGCACGTCCCAGGGCTGTACTTCGCAGAAACAAAATTGAATAAAACTTGTGTTTGCAAAACATGTAGTTGAAGAGAAGAGTTACAGACAACCCTTATAGATCAACAGTGGCTCAAGTTATTCCTCCTTCCTTTCTATGGGATATTAATTGCCCTCAGCCACAGTCATTTCCCTAATTAGCTGCAGAAAATATACAGAGACTGAAGTCATGTTAACAACTGCAATAATCCACTCTTAATCCCAACCCTGACCTCAAAATCATAGCATACATCTTGGTGTCTCTGAGGTAGACACCAGTCTCCCTCTCTGCTCATCTTGGACCCCAAAACCACCTTGGCTGACCTTTCTGGAAAAGGAGCCACAGTGACAGTGGAGACAACACAGGGTCAGACATGTGGCTGGTGTTTCCAGTGAGAACTGCAGCTCAAGGTCAATAGATATGACTCAGAATCAATTTAAGAGCTGTGGGGTGAAAGAGGAGAAGAAATTCCCTACAGAAATACTTCCCTACAGTCCTTTTTGTTGTCCTTACTCTCAGCCAGAGGGAAATCTGCACTTACCTTAAACCACAAAACAGTAGGTTCAGGGGTTCCTTCGATGACTGCCTGGAATTTGGCACGTTCCCCAGAGGTCACCTGCACATCCTCTATTGTCACTTGCATGTAGGGAGGCCCTGGTGAGACACAAGGGTTGGCTGCATGGACAAGACCCTAACTTCATGCTGGTGTAGGTTGTGCTACTCACATGGGATTTATAGGACTGGCCATCTAGGGTACAACATGAATGTCAAATCAGGAGATATCACAGCAAGGTATCTGGGTTTCTTTACATTGGCTTTACTTTCAGGCTTTGTACCTTCATGCTTACCTGTTACTTTCTGTTTATTAAGCAGTTGCTACTCAAGAAATTGAAGCATTTAAAGAAACAGTGGTCAAGAGTCAGTACCAAAAGAAAAGACAATGAGAATCATGGGATGTGGGAGAAGGAAACAAGACTCTTCCTTACTTGTTGGGGTCTTCTCCTCAGTCTTATACACACAGGTTCTTTCCATGGTCTCAATATAAACTTCACTGTGTACTTCTCTTCTGTACCAATCTCCTTCCTCCTCAGCTGCTGATGTTCTTTTATGAAGCCCAGAAGAAAAGATCATTACACAGTCACATACAGCTACAGAGATACAGGATTACACCTCACCATTGATCTGTGACAAATAATTATTTACTTCAAACTAACACAATAATAATTTTATATTGGGCAGAATTAATTTCTCTCCAACCTTTTTGATCCTTCTCGCACAACTCGTGTGTGAAGAGGATTTAAAAAATAATAACACACCTGGGAGAATCAGTTCAAGTCACCCTCTGCTTCCTCCACCACAAGGAACTTGCTTTTCTTGCAACAAAGTCTGCCACGTTTGGAATTCTGTGTATTGGGATGAGTATTTACCTGGTAAGAGGAACGGTGCGTTCCTGGGAGCTTCCACCTCCAGCAGCTGTCTCTTCATGGGAAGGACCAGGGCTGGGCTTTGGCACACTTGATTCTTCAGCTGGAATCTGCCTTTGTGCTTTGTCTGGCAGCAGAAATAGGGCAAGTTAGACATGTCAGCTGTGACAACACTCCTGGAATCCAGAGCAAACCTTTGGAGGCATCTTCGGTCTGCCTGGTGCCAGAACTGAGTCCCTCTGACCTCAGCTGGGTGCAGGCACTGAAGCTAAGAGGAGAATTTGGCCCTTTTGGGAAGAATGCATGAAGCAAAGGGACTGAATGACATCAGAGAAACTGAGAGGTGGCACATTGATGACTGGGAGAAAAACGCTTCTCTGTAAGGAAACACACAGAGACAAAAGCAGCAAAACCAGTGAGGACAAGAAGAACCAGGATGACTGGAAAGAGAGTGTAAGTTTAGGACATCCTGTGCAGGAGATAATTTAACTGTGTTTGAGTTCCAGCTCATGGCTATGATGAAATCATAGAATCACTTTGGTTGGAAAAGACCCTTAAGATCATCAGATCCAACCATTAACCCAGAACTGCCAAGTCCACCACTAAACCATGTCCCTGAGTGCCATGACTTTTAAATATCCCAGGGATGCCCAGCTTTAGCTTTGTGCACATTAATGCTTCAGTGAAAATGTGCATAATGAGAACAGTTCTTGACTCACTGGCGCAACCACAGACAGCACTAGTGAAATGAGGAAGCTCACATGAGTGTAAAATTGGTGGTCAAGGCAGGCCCTGGATGAAGGTACAACTAATATGGAGAAAACATGGAGGTCATAGAATCACAGAATGTTAGGAATTGGAAGGGACCTCCAAAGATCATCGAGTCCAACGCCACTGTCAGAGCAGGACCAAAAACACTAGGGCAGATCACTCAGAAAGGCAATATGGATAATGTGGAGGTATGACAATAGGGAGGACCTGTTGATGCTAAAACACCAGCATTGGTGAACCTCTGCTGGACTCTTTGACAATGTCCTTCTCCAAGTCTACATGACACCAGAACAAGGTTTGGCATCTGGGGCTTATAGGAACAAGGATATAAAGAGATGGTGGAGCTTGATGGCAGTTCAGGTGTTGTTCTTTTTCCAGTAAAAATTATTTTACCAGACACATCTTGATAAACTGGGTTGATCTTCCATTCTGAAAGCAGCTGATTGCCTTTTAATACTGACCACTAGAGCTACCCACAGGATAAAGCGTGTCATCTCCTTTTTCATCTGAGGACAAAAAGTTAAATCCAGAGGCGTCTTCTCCCCAGCAGGAAGAGCCTTTTTGGGGATCACTCTAGGGTGCTTGGTGCTGTCTGGTTTTGGAAAAAAACAGCACATAGAACAGCTCTATTGGGGTGGAAAACATGGTTATTCAAGGCATTATTGGCAGGGTCAGAGATCCCAGGTGGGTGGGATGGTGCTGACCTGTTACCAGCACTATCAAAATATTTGCCTTCTTTTTATTCTAAGCATGTGATCAGAGGGACAGTTGTCAAGTCTCCATCTTATGAAAATAATTCCCCATATTAATAACACATTTAGCTTTCTCAGGTGAAAGGACTGCATAACCATCTCATTCTATTATCTCTAGACTTATGACCAAGGAAATAATCTACTAGTTGACATTTTACTTATGATTTTTAAGTCATCCTCCTTCACCAGAAAAAAAATTTAAAATGTAGTTATTTTTGGATTAGATTCTGTGAGGAGCTTCTATCCTTGTTAAATTTTAGACCAGAATATCTTTTATTTTAACAGCATCAGGAGCTTGAGGGCTGGAGGATACTTGACATTGTCCTTTTAAGCTGACACTGGTGGAGGACAGTTGCTCTGACTTGACACAGAAACAGCTTAGACAAGTTGTTAAGGCAGAAGCAGAAGGAAGAGAGGAAGGGTTGCCACTTAGTTAGGTCTTAGGGGGTTTTTAAATAATACAAAGACAAAAGTCTTGTTCTCCTGGGAAGACACAGTCACACACATCATTGGTTTTCATCACACAGAAAGTATTAAGGCCTCTATCAAGGCCCCAGGGCCAGTGAAATGCAGGTGAACCCGATGAACCCATCACCCTAATGAGCATTCAGCAGTTGATACAGGGGTGTTAAACACATTGATGATGGCAAACGACAGAAGAAAAGCAACCTCCTTACCTCTCCCACCAAATAAACACCCAAATTACTTCTCTAAATGTTAAGGAGGGATCCCACCCCTTCTTGTCCCCCAGAAAACTTGAAGCAAGTTCAGGGTCGAAAGACCAAAGGTGGAAAAATCCCCAATCCCTCCATTTTAGGCAGGTGATGAACAAAACTGCCTCAGAAACAGTTTTCTAATGTCTTCTGTTTCCAGAAAGATCTGCCCCAAACTTGTGTCCAGCCTAACCCCAACCCCCAGCCCCATGTTTCTTTGGGTCTGAATGTTCTCTCTTAATCTTCAACTGCTCAAAAAACAAGAAAGCAGAAAATATTATTATTGGCATGTTTGATATTTTTGTCTCTCTTGCATCCCATGGGACATTTTCCAGGTTCATCCCAAACCTACCATGGCCTCCAGCAGCCTGGGTTTGGGTACTGGCTTCATGAACCAGCACAGAGGGCCTGGCTGCTGTCTCTGTGTGGTCTGAAGGAACGGACCCTTGAAGGCCAAGGCCACCAGCTTCTCCTTGCATGCCCAGGGGAAGAGTCACCAGCATTGATGCTGAGTCCATGAGTTTCTTTAGAGCTGTCTTGATCTCCTTGTCAGCACGCTGAAGTGAAGCCTGAACAGAAGTCTCCATCTCTGAGTGTGGGGAAGTCATTCCTACAGACAAGAAGAACAGCTTTTCTCTCTTTAGGGTAAAAAAAAAAAACAATAGCAGCAGCATCCAACCCATGGAAATATCTGCAATTGTATCATTTTCCCTTCCTAGGGCAGGGAACTGGTGCAGAAATGCTTATTTTGAGCAACAGAGAATGTAGCTAAGACTTAACATGAGAAGGTTGGCAACACAGGCTTCAGAAAGATGTGTCTCAAAGGGTTGAGGACACTGTGCCACACCACACACAAGGGTCCATCTCCCAACCACACCCCACGTTGGCTGCTCTTGTGAAAAATGCCTTTGTTAGGGTCAACGAAATGAACTCAGCAGTGACTCATTGCAGGGATACAGGTCCCACAAGCAAGGAGGGTGCAATTCTCACAGGGAAGGAGGAGTGAACAGGTACCAGCCTCGCTGGTGACTGTGGAGAAGGGGAGGGGAAAGAAGGGAGGTCTGTGCTGCTTTATGAGCCTGTTAGTCCAAGAGGATGGCAGAAAAGCTGCTGATTGCAGAGTAATGTATTCATCCTAGTTTACAATATCTGAATATTTTGGCTGGATTTTGCTGTAGAAGGTGCCTGAGACTCTTAAATTTGTACACCACCTTTGGAAGATACTCTGGAAGTGAAGTCACCTGGTCTGTACAGTAATGCAGAGCAGCTGTGTGCAGGGAAGCAAGGCAGGTGTAACTCCTGCCTTGAGAAACTCATGGTCCTGAGGGCAGAGAGAAGACAAAAGCTTTCTACACAGCAAAAAGGATTTTCAAGCACACATCTTTGCCAAATAGCCACCCAGGACACAAATACTGTGGTGTCAGCCCCAGTCAGTGCTGTTAGAAGATTCTAGGCTAGGACAGGATGGTAGGACCTCAGGTGCTCATCTCATCCAATCTCCTGCCCAATACACCTTCCACAAGGGATGAAGAGGCACAACAAAGGGACAGATGGTATCTAGGGAAACTCTCAAGCAGCCATAAAGTCAGACAAGATGCATGTCACATTCAGACAATTCATCATGTTCAAGATGTGACCTCTTGCCAAGCAAGAGTGCAAACTCAAACCATCGTGTGGTTCAAGAAAAAACAAGGGCACTTCCACACAAATGGCCCTGATGTGTTTAATGTCATTGACACAGGAACATGTCCTGGAATTGTTTTGGCTCTGCTCCTTTCTTGGCCTTAAGAAAGCACATTCCCATGATAGAACTTAGCAGCTAAAGTTGCAATCTATGTTTGGACCAGGCCCCGTTGAAGGCATCTCACCTGATTTTTGTTTTCAGTGTCCTCCCCGTGACCAGAGTAGTTACAGAATATTTCAGCTCTGGGTTTGTTAATGGAAAAAGCAAGTTTTGCTCACACAGTGTCCCAGACTGTCTGTCAGTGTCCATCAGCACTGGTCTGAGAGGAAGATCTTTAAATATTTCACTAGATGAATATTTTAATTCCCTGGTGTTCCTGTTGTGATTGTCATCAACTGCTTCTGTCCTACAGGCTGGGCAGCTGCAACAGCTGCACTTGTTGGAAAGGCATGAAACACAGTTTCTCTCAATGAGAAAATATATTCACAGGTTATATATAACATTAGACATTAGGAAAATGTTCTTTAATATAAGGGTGATGGATCACTGGAACAGGTTGCCTAGAGAGGTGGTGGAGGCCCCATCCCTGGAGACATTCAAGGTCAGGCTTGATGGGGCTCTGAGCAACCTGTTCTAGTGTGAGATGTCCCTGCTTATTGTAGGGGGGTTGGACTAGATGATCCTTAGAGGTCCCTTCCAACCCAAGACATTCTGTGATTCTATAGCCACAGGTCTCCCCATAGTGCTACTTTCATCCCTGTTTCTGACCTGTTCACGGATGTTACCCACTATGAGGAACTTCCATAGTAGCTGAGGTATATAAAGCTAACATTGCAGTGATGACACACCTGTGATGAACAGCTTGTTTCCCACTTCTAAAATCTCAACCCTGAACATTTCCACCCCACATGTCCTGCAGCCAATAGCCAGGCACACAAGACTGACGTGTATTTGGAAGAAGGAGCCAAGATGACAAGCATCATTCAAAACGATTGACTCATAGATTTGGGTTGGCAGATTTCCTAAAAACAGGTTCTTTCACTTCAACACTTCTGAAACTGTCCATAAGAAGATGAGCTATATACTTAACCCCATATTCTTGGGTTGCAGCCCATCTCCTGCCAAAGGTGATGGGAAAAGGGGACGAGCTGCTGGAATATTGAGTGCCATGAACAGAGAACAGAAACCCAGTGAGTTCAGTGACAGCTGATGCAAGACATTTATTGATATAAACTCAGCATCTAACAGCATATCTTGCATTTGATGTCTTGATTTGGGTTTTGTGTGTGTGTGTGTATGTTGTTTTTCTTTTTATATCTCAAGCAAACTGAAGTTTCCACTTTGTTTAATACCCATTTACCTGCAGGAATTTTAGTAAAACATTCTCTGTATTAATTTTTTTTAAATTCAGCTGCATGTTTTCATCTACAAGAAATAAATCCCCACACATCTCATTAGTTACCTATATAGTTTAATCACTTACAAGCATATTTTTTTAGCCTCTAGGAAAATATTTTGAAAGTATATGCAATGAACTTTCCATAAACCTTTCACTTTTTGAACAGAGTCCTGCGTAGGATTTTTAAAATGCCTTTCAATTTATTCTCTTGATTAAATTTCAAAATAAAATGTAAACAGATGTTAACAGCTTTGGGCTAATGAGTCAAAGTATAGTTATTTCTTCTATGAACATCTGAACTGCAAGCTTGCAGCTTCTTGAGAATAACCTGAGCATCAACCACAATAGAAGGAAATCTCCACATCCCTTTACACATCTTTAGTATCTTTTGGATGAATATTGTGTTTTTGAAGGCTATCATAGGGCAAGTTCTTTTCTCAGCAGTATCTTTGTAAATCCAAATAAATTCCACTATGTGGAATTAATCTAGATTGATACTGGAATCACTGAGATCAGAATCAAGCTCAATAAAAAAGAAACATTTTCAATTTCAAAAGTATTTCTCTGTTGCATGTCTGTTACTTTCCAATGTACAGTGCAATACATGAAAAAAAAAAAGCACTAATAGATTTCCATCCTATTGCTTAATTATAAAACAAAGAGTACAAACCAAGGAGATGTTGTAAAAAAATGGGAGAGTAACATAAAAGAGGCTTGATTTCTTTCACCACATGTAATCACTGGAAAAACATCCTGTATCATGAGGGCAGCACACATGCTATTACACCTAACAACCTGTCTGGTTACTGAAAGTAAAAGGCTGTGAAATCAACACTTTCATTTTAGTCAGCACATGATCAAGGTGCAGTCACAGAAGGAAAAAAAAAAACCCACACACACAACTGTTTACTTTTCTACAAGCACCTTTTGTGGATTCAATCCCTGTTGGCAGGAATAGTGCCTGGAGGACCCCAGGACAAGCTTCACAAATTTACCTGGCTGGGAAACACTGAGGCCACATCACACATCAACATTTCCAATGCTAAATCTCACTCAATCCTCTCGCTTCATGCCACAGGTTGGAACTCAGCTATGCCTGAGCATTCCTGGCTTCCCTGCACCATCTCCATGCAAGCATTTTCTACCACAATGGTGCTGCACAACTCAGCTGGGAAGAGGTGCTGGGACTTTCCACCCCACGTTACTGTTGGACAGACAGGGGCAGTGCTTGATCCTACAGTGACAAACTCCAGCTGACTTCAACTGGGACCAATGTTTGGGCCTGTGAGCTCATTCCTTTCCAGGAGCACCTTGTGGAAGGTGTGTGCAACACCCATTTTTGGTGAAGCCAACGGGAATGGCCCATGCTCAGTGCATCTCAGCCTTCCCCTTACCCAGTGCTCCTGCTGAGCTGCAAAGCTCCAGGGAAGCTCAGCAGGAGGCAGTGCCTCTACAAGACCACTCAATGTATGTCCTTACACTACTATGATGCAATTGCAACTGGCAGTGCTTCCAAGCAGCCCAGCCCATCTGGTGGAGATGTGTTTTCAACTAGGCATTTATGGCAAAGATCTATTTTCTTTATTTTGGGTTTGTTTTGGGGTTTTTTTAACTGCCTTTGTGCTCCTGCTACTTTGCTGTAGCTCAGTGGTGAATTCCTCTCAGCACATATAGAAGACTTCAGCCAGCAATCTGTTAACACTAGTGGTTCACCACTGGCATGTACAGGAGACCAAACATTCTTCCAGCAATATTTATTGACAAAAAAACCACATTTGTGGTTCGTTATACACGTTAGCATTTGATTATAGATGCAGAAGTAATTTTGTGCATCACTTCAATCTTCTGGTGCACATCAGGTAAATTATATTTTAAAAGATACAGTTTAGAAGTCCACTAGAATGCAGTATAATGAAACCTACATCTTCAGACAACTGGGCAGTGGACCTGAAAATAGCAGTAATTTTAAAAAGATGGTCTTTTTTTTTACTTAAAGCAGAAGAGAACAACTAAATCCCTGCTTCCTCAAGTCAGTGGGAATTTCACCATTGACTTCAGTCAAATCAGGATTTCAACCCAAGGGTCAGAGCAGCCCTTTGCATTCTTGGTAAACAGGATATTTTCTGTCTGTTTCATTCTGTGGCAGAAGCTTCAAACAACGTAACCAGGCTGTGCATGTTGAAAGGCTTATGAAGACGTTTGGTTAGAGCTAACTGGTGTCACAAGTGTACAGCAGAGTTGAAGCCACGAGCAGCTTCATGACCTTTGGGTACACACAGTGACAGGAGATTGCTTTAGCTGGGAAGAGTCCTCCTGTTCTGGGCTGCTGAGGGATACTGAAAAGCTTAGGTGCTTTTGCCTTCTTGTCACACCATCATTTACAGATATTGGCACTTGAAATGAAGTCTAGGTTCATGGACAAAACCACACTTACTCATCTATAGTTCTGTCATAGGCAGGAGAATCAAGCTTTTCCTAAACCTACCATCACAGCTCCACTATGGAATGATATATGTTCACCTCGACCAAAGCTTTTAAAATTACAAACTGTTCTGACAGACATGTTCCCTTTAAGACTGGAAAAGCTCGACAGATCACACTGAAACATATTTTCCTCAGGGGTATTTCCTCGTACATGCTACCTTGTCATCTCTGCCACCCATTCCCCTCACCTACAACATTTTCGATTAGTTTTTGTTTTGGTTTATTGTGTTTTGTTTGTTGTTGTTGCTGTTGTTTTTCTAAAGCAGTGCTTTCTTCTGCGTGGAAAATTACTGCTTGCATCTGCTCAGCTTTGGGAGAGGTCTTCTGTACTGATGTGCAAGGTAACGGGCTCACCAACAGTCCCATAGCTGAGGGTTCTCGTGGAAACTTCAGTTTTAAAGCTTGACTGTCCATTGTCTGCTGAGAGCTGGACTTCAGTGCAGAAAGAAGGTCTCACTGTGAAGGAGGGACCGGGAGGAGCTGCTGCTGTTGCTACACGGACTCCAGGTGTCACCCTGCAGGTATCACTCACATGGAAGGTGATGTTGGAGGGGCCCACAGACGGCACAGATGTCACTCGAGATGCTGACATGAACATGCTCCCAGGAATGTGCTCTTCAAAATGGCTGTAAAATCTTTGCCTAGGCTTGGGGACCACAGGTCTCCCCAGATTCAGCAGCACTGGCTGCCCAATCACTGGATCACTGATCTCTGTTTGGAGCACGGAGATCTCGCAGGGCTTGTCCGCCTTCCGGTTGGGATCATCACACCTGTAGGTCTCACCTTCCTCAGGAACATAATCTTCAAGATCCTCCAAAGTTAATACTTTGCCATTGTGGGTTAAGATTTTGAGGTCCCGGGTGCTAAGGTCATCAGGCTGCAGTTCCTCTGGTTCATCCACTATAATGACATCACCCTCTTCCGGAAGGACGCCTTGTGTTGCTTCAGGTATCTCCTCTTCCACAGGCCAAGATACATCTAATTCATCTGCTTCCCCTGTAACCTCTGGACTCACTGGTGAGAACAGAAATTACTGCTGGTCTGCAGCAGCTGT